AAGATCTCACAGCTGCATTTCCCCTCAAAAGAAATATGAGCGTGTTCAATGTCACATGTTGTGGTTTATGTGGTTTGGTGGGTGGGTGGGGGAACGCATAGAAGGGGGAAGAATGACAATCTCCAGTAAGTAAGAATCTGGTTTTAACCACCACTCCTTGACATTCAATGGCATTACCATCACTTAATCCCCCACTATCAATGTTCTTGGGGCTAACATTGACCAGAAACTGAACTGGGCTAGCCATTTAAGTACTGTGGACAGAAGAGCAGGTCAAAGACTAGATGTCTTACAGAGAGTAACTCATGTTCTGACTGTAATTCATCTAATGAAAATTTTATTGTAAAGTCATTCATCTGCAATTTTTCTTTGAGTTAAATCCTGCGAATGGTACTTGCGCATTTATCCTTTCTGTTATTGATATAACAGAACAATAACCTGCAGTTGTATAACTCCTTTAAAGGTAGAAAAATACTTCATCAGAACATTTATTAGACAGAATTTGTGCTGCTACACAGCCTTCTTTAACCAAGGTCTGAAGTGAAGCTGATAAAAAGTCTCTCTCTCTCTCTCTCGAAACTGTACGTGTAGTTCCAAGCTTAGAAAGACCTTCAGTCTTGATTTTTCTAACAAACCTTAAAGCATAATGGTTCACGTTGCTAAGCCATAAAACATTCTGACATAAGCAAAAACCCATTGTTGCTGCCAAAACAGCTCTCATAAACTATTTCAAATGAAATCACCAGAGCTGCAGAAATACTTATAAATTAATTATTAACTTCAGAAACACGGAAAACCCGTATGCCACTAATCCAAAATCCAAACCTAAATTTAAGATACATTATCTTAAATATTTATCATACAGTTTATATCACAGTTTAGTCATTTGAAAATAGGGATAGAAATTTTAAAATTGAGCTATTACTTGACTGAGAGTCAATGTTGATCAGCGAGCACAGGTATGATCATTTAAGTGGACTTGGTAATCAGGGCAAATATTTGGATGACCTAAAGTTTATGGAGAATAGAAAAGTGAAAGCAGCCAGCAGTGCATTGGAATAGTCAAGAATCAAGACAACAGAGGCATGAACAAAGATTTCAGTACATGAACTAAGCCAGAGACAGAATTGGTAATGCTACAGCTGTAGAATTAATTGGTCTTAGTGATGGTGTAGATGTATGATTAGAATCTCACACAGGGTTAAAATGAAATCAAAGTCATGAACAATCAAACTTAGACAGTTTTCAGGAGAATGATGGAAAAGAAGATAGAAACAGAGATTGTGTTAGGAACTGAAGGCAATGGGTCCTATGGTACTCTACCTTTAAGTGCTTAAGCTTCAGTTTTTCCTCATCCACTTCAAATCTTTGTCTGGTAATTTTTTCCTGTATTTTCCTCTTGTCCTGGAAGAATAGAATTGAAATACAAGTGTTTGTTAATTTTATTTAACTTATCAACAGCATTATTAACTATAACATAATCTGCAGTCAGCAAAGAATCAGCACTTGCCATTGATGCCAAAACCCCTACTCAAAATGATCGAATGATCTCCGAATCAGATTTAAAAATGTTTAATGTTAAGTTGAATCAAAAGTCAAATCAAAGAATCTCCACGTGGCTAGCAACAGTGGTGTCATCAAGCAGGTTATGCAGTCAAGCACACTACTATATTCTCACAGACAGCAAATGAGGAAATAAAATGCTTTGAATATCCTTCACTTTTTAAAAATAAATTTTAGATTAAGCAAAGATTAAGATGTATGCATTAGAAGCTCAAATATCAAACAATCTTAAAAACATCTAAAAACATGAATGCATTTACCATTATGAAAAATGTTGACAGATCAAATGTAAAATTATTTCTCTAGGGGCAACAGGTTCTTCAGCATAATTATGATTTAGTCCACAGTTAAAAACCCAGTTACACCTCATTAAAAAGACATCACATTTTTAAGCTTTGATGAAGGGCCACTGACCTTCCCAGATCTGCTGAGAATTTGAAGCATTTTCTGTTGTACTTTTGAATGTTTTCACTTTTTAAAACAATGGTATTAATGTTAGAGTCATCGAGTCCTACAGCACGGAGGCAGGGCCTTCAGCCCAAACTGGTCCATGCCGACCAAAACGTCCATCCGTGCTAACCCCATTTCCCTGCACTTGGCCCGTATCCTTCTAAATCTTTCCTATCCATGTATTCATCCAAATGCCTTTTAAATGTTGTTAATGTACCCACCTCAACCACTTCTGCTGGCAGCTCATTACATTAACGTACCATCTTCTGTGTAAAAAAGTTGCCCCTCAGGTTCCCATGCATTCTTTCCCGCCTTACCTTAAACTGATGCCCTCTAGTCCTCGATTCCTCAACCCTGGGAAAAAAAAACTGAGTGCATTCACCCCATCCATGCCTCTCATGATCTTATACACTTCTATAAGAACCCCCCTCAGTCTAAAGAAAAAAGTCCTAGCTTGTTAAAGGGGAAGCTCTCATTATCACTGTCATTTTAAATTTATTGCAGAATTTTTCTAATTCTTAACCTTTTGAATTACAGTCCAAAATGTTTAAGCAAGTAATGATTTTACCAAAGAATTTAATTCGCTGAATTGTTCTATTTTTCACCTGTTTTGTCAGTTGTGTCAGGTTTGGCAAGAAGCTAATATTGGAATACAAGTAGGATTATAATTATAGTGTCACATGATGGTTATGAATAAATGAAAGATTACTTAAACCATTTGTTTCATTACAAGTAAATATTTCAGTGCAATTGTAAAAGGACACATTTTGTTAAAGTCTTTTGTCATACACATAATATTCACAAAAATATCTCTCTGAAAGGGAATGTGACAGAAAGAATTTGTGTACATATTACATCTGTTCAACTTAACAAAACAGGCAACAACTATCTCTGGGTCATTTCTCAGGGATAGCGTATGGACTAATTAGAGTCAACCTGCCTGATTTAAGTCTTAACAAAGATTGATGGTTAACTCTCAGGCATATCTAACTGGTGTGTTCTCCATAGCAATGCCTCTATCAATCAGATTTCATTTGCTGACCCATCAGCTACAGCATAAAATGTTGTTTGCCTTTACATTGGTATTCTTCTGCCTGATGAGTAAAAAACAAAAAGGTTTGACAAAATTTGTCTCTTTTCAACAAGACTATACTATTAAAACGCTTCTAATATACATATTAATGGCAGAGCAATGTATCTTCAAAATGGGCATATTATTCTAGGGTAACAATGCAGCACAGTATTTAATAGCCTCACTGATTAACACCATCACCTGAGGAGGCTATTTTCACAACTAAACAAAAGCACTTGTCATACTGATTGCCAAAAAATACTAACAGCTGATGAGGTGAACATTTCCATTATCCATCACTGAATGGGGGCTCTGTTGGAGTGACGTGATTGAGAAATATTGTAAAACAGCAGGTAGGTAGTATTGACCCTTAAAAAAAAATCACTTCTTGGATGAAATGGTCTTTTCCCATTGCTAAAAATTCTTATGTCCTTGTTCTCACTTGCTCCCGGTCCTTTCAATGCCATTGACTGCAAGACCAGTTGACATCCAAGAGGGTGAATGGAGTATCATTTTTATTCAAACTCCAATCTTAATTAAGCAGCATCTGGTTCAAATGCCACCTGGGAAGGAGTACAGTAAAGAAATTTTCAAAAATTGGAATCCAAGCGACAATCACCATTGTGGCAGACTTTTTGAACCATTGCTTACTGCTGGTGTCAGTTCTGTGCCTTAAACTCAAGGGTAACATTATTCAGTTATAATCTGACGTTTATTGCCAACAGTGGGAGCGCCACCAAGAGGCGAGCAGCTGGAATTAATTGCAGTCATACCAATGAACAGCCTGATAGCTCTCATTGACAGTAAAACCTGCATTCGTGGCTGAAGATAGGGCTGCCACAATGAATTGTAAACCATGCAAGTCGCTCTTCATTCTGAATTTTCAAACACATGAAAAACCTCTGTCTCAACTGAAAGTGAGTTTACACAAAGGGAAATAATTCACAATAATGTAAACTGTAACAGCTAGGGGCGTTTTAATGCTCACTGCCAATGGAAACTACGTCAATTGTGGGTTAAAATCCAACTTTGACGCACCTTCTACTCTTTCACCACTGCATTGTTTTCTCAAGTATTTAAGGCTCAGATTATCTTTTTGAAAACTTGTAAATCAGGACCCAATAATGTTTCACATGAGAGATGGTGACTAGCTGACCCACTGAGTGTTTCCAGCATCTGTAATACTTTGCTTCTAAAATACAAATGGGCCCCCAAAGCTTTTTAATGACTTGTGAGGCAGATCTTCCACTATAGGAAGTCTGACAAGTAAAACCTAGCAGGTAAACATAGAAACACAGTAAATAGGAGTAGGAGTAGGCCATTCAGTCCTTTTCAGCCTACTTCACCATCCAATGTATCATGGCTGATCTTACATCTCAATGTCATATTCCGCATTCCCTCCCTATCCCTTGATGCCTTTATTATTTAAAAATGTCTGTCTTTTTCTTGAATGTACTCTGTCCTGGCCTCCACGGCCTTATGTGGTGATAAATTCCATAGGTTGACCAACCTCTGATTGGAGAAATGTTTCTTTATCTCAGTCCTATGTGGCCAATCCTACATCCTGAGAGTGTGACCCCTGGTTCTTGACTCCCCAACTAGGAGAAATATTCTCCCTGCATCTGGTTTATCGAGCCCTGTTAGAATGTTATATGTTTCAGTCAGCTTCCTATCATTGTTCTAGTGAATACAGGCCTGATCCATACAATCTCCATCATACAGCATTCCTACAGCCCCACTATAAGCTTGGTGAATCTTCACTGTACTCCCTCTATTGCAAGCATATCTTCTCTTGGGTAGGGAGGTTAAAACTGCACACAGTACTCCAAGTGGTCTTACCATGGAGCTATATAACTGCAGTAAGATAGCCCTACTTCTGAACTCAAATCTTCTTGCAATGAAGGCCAATATAAATTTGCCTCCCTAATTGATTGCCACACCTTCCTGTTTAGTGGCAGATGGAATACAATGTGGAAAAATGTGATGTTATGCATTTTGTTAGGAAGAATAGAGGCACAGACTATGTTCTAATGGAGAAAGGCTTCAGTATTCTGAAACACAAAGGGACTTGGGAGTCCTAGTTCAGGATTGTCTTAAGGTTAACATACTGGTTCAGTTGGTCATTAGGAAGGCAAATGCAGTGTTGACATTCATTTCAATAGGGCTAGAATACAAGAGAAGTGATGTACTGCTGAAACTGTATAAGGTTCTGGTCAGACAGCAGTTTGAATACTGTGAGCAGTTTTGGGCCCCATATCTAAGGAAAGATGTGCTGGCATTGGAGGGGATCCAGTGGAGATTTATAAGAATGATCCCGGGGATGGTGGGCTTGTCATCTGAGGAATGGTTGAGGACTCTGTGTCTGTACTCAATGGCGTTCAGAAGGATGAGGGGGGGATCTGATTGAAACTTACAGGAACTGAGAGGCTCGGATAGAGTGGATGTGGAGAAAATGTTTCCACTTGTAGTAGAGACTTGGACCCGGGGCACAGACTCAGAGTGAAGGGATGACCTTTTAGAACTGAGATGAGGAGGAATTTCTTCAGACAGAGGGTGGCTAAACTGTGGAACTCATTGCCGCAGAGGGCTGTGGAAGCCAAGTCATTGAGTATATTTAAGATAGAGAGAGATAGGTTCTTGATTAGTAAGAGGATCAAGGGTGATGGGGAGAAGGCAGGAGAATGGCTTTGAGAAACATATCAGCCATAATTGAATGGCAGAGTATACTCAATGGGCTGAATGGCCTAATTCTGCTCTTATATCTTATGGTCTTTACTTCCATTGAGTGAGAAATGGAGGCCAGGTACGAAAAAAAAAATTTGGTGGACCAAGAGGATCAGAAGCACCCTGAAGGCCTTCCAAAGAGTGCTTGACTGCTGCTGCCTTGAGGTCCCCCAACAACTGTCCCATATTTGGGAAATCTTGATAGTGATTTAATTTGAATGCGGCCAGAACTGTGAGACAGCTGCTTTTGTTTCAGGTATTGCAGTATTTCTGGCATCTAGTTCTACATAAAAATGTTCACTCATTGATTGGCATTAAAAAAATCTGTTTTAGAAATAAAAATGCACATTTTTAAAGCAAAAATAGTATAATTAAATATTAAGAATTGTAAAACGTAAGTGCAGGGCATAACTTTGAGTCAATTAGACTGATATTTTATTAAGCAACTGACCTGTAACGTTATTTTTGATCAAGGATATACACAATATATGCCTCATTCTACTAAGCACCCTATGATCAGCCTGTACTGCTTGCAAAACAAAACTTTTCACTATACTTCAGTACATGAGACAACTATAAATCAAATCAATAAAATCAAATATCAAGAAGGTGACCAGATATTTAAAGTTGAAGAGGAGATCTAATATTTTATGTCAACCGTTTAACAACAGGTATTTCTTAAAATCCAAAACAAAATCTAAATCAAGTTTGCTTCTTCAGTTTTCTTTCCATCTTTCTTGAAAGTGCCAACTGTTGTCAGGCATGGTTCCAGGGTTGGCAGGAGCTTTTGAATAACAATGGGCAAAATCTTGTCCCTGAGCCAAAAACTCTGCTTTTAGTCTTACCTCAGACCTTGATGGCCAAGAACCATGTGTTTATAACATAATGAAACATGCTATCATCCTGCCTATCTTTCCAACACACGCCAATGGCAGGTGGGAAGAATGAGGGAGATACCTTGTCAACTATCTGGTAGCAACAAAGTTGGGGTATCTGCCATCACTACTTACAAAACTACAATGTGAATGTAAAAGAATTTGTTGCCACAGCAACTTGGCCTCCCTGAGTCTACTATAACACACTGTCACCACCTGCAGCCCTGAGGTACTAGGTCACAGGGATTTTATTTAATGCATTAGTTTAGTCAGGGTGTTTAGATATGACATTCACTTGAAGTAAAATTCATGTTGCTCTATTTTGTATGAATGGAACAACACTTTGAAGAGTTAACTAACTGGGGAAAGAAGAATATCCAAATTATTGTACATGATTATATAATCAGTACACACTACAATACACTGGAGAAACTATAGGCTAATTACACAGAGGTTAACTACAGAAGGTTAATTAAACTGAAGTTAATTCATTGCACTTGCTTTTGGCTCTTTATCATCTGGTGCCATTGGAAATAACAATTAAAGAGTCAGCAGTTTATGTTGGAACATTATATTGATATGATATTTGTCTTAGTTTAGACTTGTTAATTATAACTTGAAACAGGAAATTCTGCTTCAAGAATTTTGTCAGCATGCATAATATTAAGGAATGGAATTTTATTTAAAAATTACTCATTTTCTTTTGGAATATATTAGTAGGGATTTAATAATGATGATGTTTCAATTGCATCGCATTCCAAACCCAGAACTGTGGCTGTTGAAAGATTTTTTTCAATCTCAGCATTTGCCACATGGAAGATAGAACCATTCCAATTTAATCAAGCAGCATGTTCCTTTGATTATTTATAATAGGCACAATACAACCCTTCTGTGCTTGCAAGACTGAGAGCAAAACATTTACTGTAAATTGTGATTCTGCATTTGGGCAGCATCTGCTGAACAATATTGAATGTGTTGATGGTTTTATTAATAACTGGTTGAAGGAAATCAGTTGAGTTTGTAACATGACTTATTTATGCTTGCTGTCAATAGACATTCAAATGTGGGGACCTGTTCTCTATGAACAAAAAAGATATATTCAACCCTTGTACCTTTTTCGAATTGCATTGGAGCTTGGGGAGCCTATACTCCTGTTGTTTTCTCTATGGGAACCACCTCGACCAATCAGAGTTGACTTGCTAATCAATCAGCACTCTTTCCTCCTCTACTAAATATTGTTATGATTGTTTGAAATTTAACATTCTTGCACTTATTTTGATGAATGCAAGATGAAACATTTTGGCAACATGTCACTCTTTTCAGCAATTATTATATACCCGCAATATGCCTCTGTTATCTATTAGAGTCTTAGAGTCATAGAGTTATACAGCACGGAAACAGATTCTTCGGTCCAACTCATCTGCGCCAACCAGGCATCCCAATCTGACCTAGTCCCATTTGCCAGCATTTGGCCAATATCCCGCTAAAGCCTTCCTATTCATATACCCATCCAGATGCCTTTTAAATACTGTAATTGTGCGGCCTCCACCAGGAAAAAGACCATGATTAAACACCTATCTATGCCCCTTATGATTTTATAAACCTCTATGAGATCATCACTGATTCTTTATGTTGTGTGGAATCTATCCGGTCTTTTTAAAAATTGTTTTTGAGTTATGAGGTTTTAGACTTCTCATTGCAGAAGCAAAATCTGTCATACACTTGTTATAACATATCCAAGCAAAGTAATAATTATTTGTCTTTAAATATTTGTACATGAAATAGTAAATTTAAGAAAATGCCTAAAATGTAGGAGAATGTATTTTGTGAATTACGTTCTCCTACATTTAAGGCATTTTCTTGCAATTTATGATTTCATGTATAAATATTTAAAGGCAAATAATTATTACAATGCCTGGATATATTATAACATTAGTTTGATAAAATCATGTTTAAATGGCATAAAACAATGGAAAAATGATTTATTTGCACAATTCTATAAAAAAATCTATCACTCAACACTTCTATACTAATGTTGTGGTGCATAATTTTCCTGGCTTAGTGACTAGGTAAATTTGTGACGAGCCAGTTTCTAATTTAGATTTTTATCCTATGATCTAATCACCTGCCATTAATATAGTATTCCATAGAGAAGCAAGTCCACACCCAATCCACGTGATCGGTAGTATCCCAAACAATTAGATATTATGGCATACATTCAACAATAATATTTTTAATGCATAGCAAGTGTGGTATCAAAAGTGACAAAACTACAGAATATTGATAAGAACAATTTAAAACAACATAAGAACAACAGTCTAATTGGAATTCTTCCTGATTATGACAAGTTTCCAAAACTTGATGCTTATTGTAAGTGTTTTATTATTGTAAGTGTTTCAAATTCCCGCATTAAATATATCTTCCACTATAAAATTATTGTGAAAGTGCCACACTACACAGAAAGCCATGCTATGATTAAAATGACGTGGCTTCACATTCCATTCTCATCTAGAAAATAACCAGCTTGCCCTCCAGCAGACCGGTGTCATGGTACTTGGCACAGGTTCCAGTCTCATGTGGAAGCTGATACTTTTAAAATCAATGCCTTGACATGTCCCTCTGTTCGACTTGCAGATTTCATTTTTATTTATTTTTCAGTTCAAGGGTTATTTATTGAAAGATAAAATATAGTTTTGCCAACATCTGGGGTGAAAGTAAGTCTGGAATGCGCTGTCGATAAAAACAGCTGAATGGCCAAAGGAGAGACTTTGACTTCTGTCTGCAAGGAGAACTCAGTTTCTGAAGTTGGAGACTTTGACCTGAAAATGCCCTTCATACACAATCACAACAAAAGCGTACACAGACAGGATTACAAGGAATGCAAATTCAGAGGACCTACCGTGATAGCTTGTAGCCTTTCTTTCAGCAGATGAGTCTCTTCCATCCTGAGAATCAAACCAGAAAGAACAGAAGTAGGAGGGTGAAAAGCATGTGTAGGAATGGGAGAGGCAGGGCTGGCTTGTGCTGCAGTGGGGTGGAGAGTATCCTTGCTTGTCACGACGACTTCTAGCAGATGATGGTGCTGGTCTGACCCAAGCAGACACATGTGATGAAGGGATGCAGACACGGATTGCTGGCATAGCTGTCTCGTTTGAGTGACAGACCATATGTTCCCTTAAACCAGAGTTTTTTTGATTGGATTGTTTGAAAAGGTGAGGCAGCCTATTCCCACCCTGAGCGATTGTGACAAAACTGTCTCTGTAAGCTGGAGAATCGGCATTTCAGTTTTATTCAGCATAAAGGACAGAGTTGTAGAAAATAAAAGAGTAAATATTTTCAAGGAGTTACATATAGTTCTTAGGACTAAAGGGATCAAAGGACAGAGTGAGAAAGCTGGAACAGGGGACTGGGTTAGATGATCAGCTATGATTGTATTAAATGATAGAGTAGGCTTGAAGGGCTGAATGGCCTATTCCGGCATTTTCTGGCCTATTTTCTATGGTTCAAGAAGCATAGTAAATTGAAATAAAAATAGAAAGTGCTGGGAAATCTCAGCAGTCTGGTAGCAGCTGTGGAGAAAGGAACAGAGTTAATGCCTTGAGTGGAATGATCCTTCTTTGTAGGGGACTACAGTAATAACATTATGAAAAAGTTACTATTTTAGATTGACAGGGGGTCATTTTCATTTTAGATTGACAGGGGGTCATTTTCATTTTAGATCTTCAAAGTGGAAGGAGCTAGGGCAAGGTTGGCGGAATGGGGAAATAAGGGATTGCATTACACTTGTTAACTGCTTGTTCTTTATGAGCACAGTGCCAATTGAGACTATTCTAGATACGTGCCCATTTCCAGTGGTCTGCCAGTCCAAAATTGGCATTTTTTGGTAGCTATTCAGATTGGCTGGCATCTCTGAAAGAGGTTGCATCCTTCCACTGAGGGTGGAAGTCTCATTTTGTGCTCTTGTAGGCTGCCAACTGTGTGTTATCATTCAATGGCTTTTTAAAATTGAGAACTGACTTTTGTATGGATGGTGCCCTGTAAAACACAAACCAATGACTGTGGAATAGACCAATAGCACAAAATGGTCAGATAATGAATGATCATTTGGCTTTCCGCTGTGATCAGACTTCAATCTACTATAAGCCAATGTGGCTCTGGCATAACCAATTTCCCCCAGTTCAACCTGAAACCTTCCTCTTCCGTGTGCCTCAGCGTAACACAAAGGTCTAAATTTTACCAGCCTGTGGGGGACTGGATGGGAGATGCATTTGGACGGTATTGGGGTGGGAGGATTGTGTAAGGTGGTGAGTGCAGGAGGTGGCGTTGGAACGCCTGCACCCACCCATCATCACACCATCTGGCAGTGATTCTGAAAGTGGCTGCCAGCCCTCTTGCCCAAATATCAGTTGGAGCGTTTACCTGGAGGTCTAATAAGGATCTGCTCCTGCCATCATTGCCATTTTATCAGTAGTGGGAGTTGTGGGGGTGCTTTCCACCATATTGGAGACAATGTCAGGTGAATCCTGGCCACTTTCCAGTCAGCCTGTGGTCAGGGGTGAAATGGGTGTCTTCTATTTGGATTGTCTTTGTCCATTGAGGGTGCCTACGGTGGTTATGGCCATCCCATGGCAGAGGCACTATCTGCCTTTACCCTTTCTTCCCCATTGCCACCCCTATCCTCCACCCCATTCACTGCTGGTGGTCACTGCCATAATGGCCTCAGCAATCCCAAACCCCTCTCAACTTTCAGGGAGACTGTATCTTTCAATGGCATCCTTTTCTTCCAGTTGCATTCCCAGCAATGGCCAACACACCATTGTATGGTGCAACTTGAGACTACTGAGCTGCTGGCCCTCCAATTGGCCAGCCTTAATATCAAGACATGTGGTGTGAAAGAAACATTTCAACCAGTGAAGACAATCAGTGCATTAATCATTGGAGTCAGATACAAACATTTCTGTTACATCTATAACATTGCTGAATTCATTTCATGTTTTGAGTAATGTACCTTAGTATTAAATATGAACCTCAATGAATGTTCCTTTTCTACCCAAGTAAAGAGTTTAGTTATTTTTATTTATTATTTTTGGTCCATAAATGGCTGGTAGTAAGATTTATTATCTTCATTTGGCAGTCCATGTGCCACTATATTGTATCTGGAAACTGTATTAATACACCAGGTTGCAATAAATCCAAGCCCTTTTTGTCAAGGGCAATTTTCTTTGTTTGTGGAATTGAGGGCAATTTTTACGTATTGCTCTGGTTACTGACAGCAAGAAAAATTAAGTGCTGCTGATGCAATACTGTTATTTAAAACTGGATGCGTAAGGTTCACTATACAGTGATTCACAGTGTTGAAGTCTATAGCAAAGCCAGTAATGTCAGCAATTTTTGGTCACGTCATTGTAGTCCACATTGTGCTCAGGCTTGTATTTCACTGGAGGAATGACACTGAAGTTTCCCATTGTGAAGTCGTGTAACATTGGTTCAGTGTTTCTCCCTCTCATTTTACTCTCACCATCAAGAAGAAAGGGACATTCTGGAGCAGCAACCACTAAGCTAGCTTTAGCTATGTCTAGGTGATCTGGTGTTTCCTGCAAGCACGTTCTCCCCCAGTACATCACTAACACACAGCTGCATTACAATCTGCACTTGCGCTACATTGTCACAGATCAGTCCCATGGCAATGATCTTCTTAAACTTGAAGATTTTTCACCAATTGGGTCAGCATTTTCAGCCTCTTGTGATTCATTGTTGATGCCATGCAACACATTGGCTGCAACTAATGACCCTTTAGATCCCACGCTGAACCAGATACATGCAGGTCACACATCAAACCTCAGCCTCTCCTCCCCAAAGAAACAATACTAGTGATAATGTTGCCTTAAGAAACCGAATGATTGGGATAAATTTTCTGCATGGTCTATGAACTGGCAAAGCAGATTCTCTGCCCATGATCTGAATTAAAAAAAAAACATGGTTTCTATAGACTGATGATATAATATGATCAGGTTTCTGTTGCCAGTAGAAGGTAGTCCATACCCAAGTCAGTGAATGACATACGAAGTATAACAAGTGATGATAACAGGATATCTCTGGAACACCTACACAGTCAGCTCCCAACTAATTCCATATGATCTGGTGTGATTATGACATAAAACCCAATATTCCTTTATTTCTATTGTGCTGTCAACTCGTCTTTCTTTGTACGCGTGTTGTGCGCAATCAGGTAAAGGGCCTTAAGCCTTGAATTTTTACAGTTATTACTTATTCCAGATCTAATTTCAGCTGCTTTTCTGCTTATATTTTCTGCTCCTCCCTGCCACATATTGATTATAGTTCATCTTTTCACTATCTTAATGTTAACTTTGATGTGGCCTGGTCTGGTCCAGTCCATAACACAAAGTCATGTGAGTGACACAGCTGGCCAAGAAAACTCAGTTATTAGGTGACATGTAATTGAACACCATGTATATTGTTTCTGTTTTAACTGTCTCTCTCTGTCTTGTTTCTGTTGTCTTATGCATCAGGACCTTGGAGACACCTTATGATGATGTCACAAAAGCTGCACATGACTGAACATAAATAGCGCAGCTTGGGCAGAATTAAAAGACTATTATAACAAATTGGATCACACTCCTTTTATGACAGAGTTGTAAGAGCACACGGGCATTAACAGACGAAGAAGATGGATTAGTCCTTACCTAATGTTTGTAAAAAACAATAACCATGTAGAACAGTATTGGTATGTATTATAATAAATAATGTTACTTTGAAGATCTAAACTTTAAGCTCCACCTGACCAGTGTGTCTTGAACCCAAACTCATAGTATAGCATCAAACTATGTGATATTAGGTGGAAGGAATTAATTTTTTTTTGTTCATTTTTAATGACTGGCTTCTTTTATCACACAGAATATTACCTGTGTAATGGATGGAAGAAGATTAAAGCTTCTGAAGATAAAACTTAATGCAACCTTATAGAGAAAATGAATAACCTGGAGCACAATTAATGCTGAAGACTATTGTATGCTGGAGCTGCTGATATGTCACATGATCTCAGTAGACACCATGTCTGATTTGGAACATGACACACAATGTATTTGCAGCATTTTAAACCGAAGGATCATGCTGAAGTAAACACATCACTTATCTGTGCTTTCTACGGGTGGCTGGAGAAATGTAGGGAAATTTTCTTCATTGGCTCCTTCAACGTTCTGCGTGGCAACATATGGTTCATGTCAAAGGGAGCATCAGTTGTAAGAGAAATAGTGACTGACATTGCTGATGATTGGAAATAAGTTAACATTTGTACTTCAGCAATGTCAAACATCTACCTCTTTTGGGGCTTTTACACAGGGAATTGGTATGCACATTTTGAAACCTCAATGAGTCACTTCAGTCATGTGTGCACCTGCTACTCTTGTTCGTCTGTTGCAACTCTAGACAGGAAGCGATTAAAATATGAAGTACAGAGAGATTTGGCTGAGATTTACTGAGGAACCTATAGCTCTCTGCATTAATTTGTGGCTAACAAATAAAGTATTAACAATTTTTTTAAAATGCCACAATTGTACAATATGTTTGTTATTCACAGGTCTGAAATATTTTAGGCTGCTCACAGTCATTCCAGATTTATTGACAAAAATAGGGATTGGTGAGCTGGTGAATGGGGGACTGTAGGGTTTTGGGCAAGTCCAGGTCTCAAATAATTCACACAAGAAAAGGACGTCTGAGGATAATATGAATTCTTATCAAGGTCACCTGAAATTCAGCTCTCTATGATTTCATCAGAAACTTTAACTTGTCTACTTTAAATCTATGGTAAGATGGCAGAAACTGAAATTATAGATGAATGTCCAAGGTTTAAGTTAAAACCTTGCAGCCCTTGTATTTTTTAATTTTACATTATGACAATGACTTAATGGAGAGTGAGTATGATGAT